ACTTTTTATGCTTATGCCACATGTTAATCAAATTACGCACATGAATATTTAGAATCTTTTTAGTCTCATCCACTCATTCTAAATCAATTGCTAAACAAATTAGGGATCAATTTTGAAATCCTCCCTAGTGGAGTCGCCAAAAACTGTAGGGAATTTTTCAACTCATCTTTAAGCCCCACTGTGGTTCATAATTTTAGGCATGGCGGCATTCCAAGGAAAAGAAGCTAGAGATAAAAGAGTCTCCAACAAGTTTTACGAACTTGTAAACCATTCACATGTGTGAAGGTTACACCCCATTCACGATCACGGAGATCGCTAACTCCATAGTGGTCCGGAACCATGACTGGATGTTCGGGGATGATGGTACGAATCCAACCTAAAAGAGATTGAACCTGCCCTAAATAGGACCCTATTTAATTCTTATGATATTCATGTGCGCTTTTCGATCAACAAACATACAACAAGTTAATCCTAAACCTGTTTAATCTACGTTGGTTGATTATTAATGCACAATCAAATCTATTATTGGTGATCACTTGAATTAAAATCATATTAACCTAAATCAAATTATTAATTAATTATCTTATTAGGTGTGATTTCAAATACAAATTCCCTTTAAGCCTACAAAAGAGGGGCGTGATCAAGCAATAACAATATATCATGAATAATAAAACAACATATGATCAATATAACAATCATCATCATAGCAATATCATCAAAACATCGTTAATAGTAAGATCCTAGGCATGATACTAAATGAATTAATAACAAATCCTAGCATGTCACTAATAACAAAATCAAAGCGTTACTGTCATGATACTAGAAATCAAAATAAGCATCCTAAACATGATACAAGAAATTAATATAGCATTGTAAACATGATTTCTACTCCAAAATCAAAAGAATAATAACAAGGGTAATTGAATTACTTACTTTGATGCCTCAACCTTCTTGCTATTAAAACAACACACACGTTAGTAAAATTCAAAAAAGTTAAATCAATAAAGTAAATAAATCAAATATGAATTGAAATATAGATTTGGGACCAAACCCTCAGAACTATCAACTTTTCACGTCGAGGTCGAAGGCAACGTCAAGGATGTCTTAGAGTATTCGAATCTTGCGAAGGAGGTATTGTGAATGATTTGTGGTGTATCAAGGATGTGCTTATGCTAAGGCTAAGAACATGGGTGTTTAAGAGCTTTGAAGCTTATGAAGGATTGATGATGATAATTATTGATGATTGTAGGATCTATGTGGTTGTAGCTTATGATTGATGGTTCCAGCTGATTTGAAAACGGGGAAAACGACCTCTATTTTTAGGGAAAAAAGAGTGTCGGGCGATCAGAAAAAGATCGGAATTTGAATCGGGATAAAACTGCTCTAGACGCGCCGCGCTGGGTACTATCGCTCCGTGTAGGGTGCTGACGCGTCGCGTTGGGGCTGTCGCAGTGTGTTGGTCCTGGCGTTGTGCGCTGGTTTTAAAGGATAATCTATTTTATTCGAATTTTGGTTTTTGATGGGTTTTCTATTCAAATTATATCCGAACATCTTTTAATTTGAATCGAACAAGGATTATCAAAAAGAGAATTTTATTCAATCTCAAACTCTTTGATCGTTTTCTTTTCGGAAAGGATAAATTAGAGCCTACTAGAGAAATATAGAATTTCATAAAGAATCCTAATTGACTTAGGATTGGAAATATGGTATTTGGACCCTCATATGATCATTGGGTCGTAGGTAAGGTGTACCTAGGCTCGGTTTAGTATTTTGGCCATAACTCATTCGTTTTATGTCGGATTTGGGCTTATAATATATCGTTGGAAACCTCTTTTCAAGCCCTATCCAATTAAACAATAATTGGACCAGGAATATGGACAAAAATAATCAGGTTTGGACGTTTTTATGAGTTGGACACGAAATGAATGGTTTTAAGGACACGAAATGGATTATTTTGGATAAAAACATTTTAGGTAAGGTTAGAAATATGGTCAAGGTGTAAGGAAACTTCACGAGACTCTTTAACTCCTTATCGAACTCGTTAACAAAAGATGTGAAAGGTACTCATCATTGGGTTCGGTTTTTGGGGAGACACAATCAGGGTGTCTACAGGGTCATTTTGCATAAAAAAGGAAAACCGCCATTTCACAATTAAGGGATACTATTGAGATTTATTTATTTTTTTATTTATTTTTTTTTTATTTTTTTTTTATTTTTTAGGAATAAGGAGGTATGATTTCATTAAATAAAAGTCATACAACACTTGCAATCATCCCTTAACAGATCTAAATTCACAATACAAGTATTAAACACCTCTAAACTAATGGCATCGCTTTTGAACTTTTCCTGGGTAAACATAGATGACTTTGCATCTTTTCGACGGAGCTTCGTTGATGTATAGGCCTGAGAGTGATAACACTTGCTTTTAAATCTGGAACCCTATAACAGACTAAACCGACTCTAACAATCCCAATAAGTAGAATATAGAAAAAAAAAAAAGAAAAAGAAAAAAAAAAAAAAAAAACAACTAGTGTTGATCAATAAACCTGCAAGACAAAGCCCGTTAAGACTTACCTGTAAATCATGAACTACCTGGTGCCAATATACATTATCAAAGACGGATCGAAAAGGGGGAGGAATTTGAAATCAAAAATAGCATAGGAGGCTATCAAACCTTATCGATGGAAGAAGATGTGAACCGAATACAAATTCAAATTTGACTGCCATGTCACAAAAGGCGAGAACCTACATTTGCCAATAGTATTATAAATCATAAATCTGGAACCCTACATTTGGCTACTATTGAGAATTTCATTATTATAAATCATAAAATGTAATTGAAGTAATTAAAAAATGTAAATATTGTACATGTAGGTGTTCGCGATGCGGTTTATATTTTTTTTCAAACCGCACTTCTAACTAAATCGCACCGCAAAATGCGGTTTGGTGCAGTGCAATTTAGCCATATTTTTCAAAATTGTAATTATTTTTTTTTAAAAATAACAATTTTGTTTTATTTGTGATTATTAATTTATAATTCAAACATTAAACTCCATTTTTAATCTTTAATTGGCTAATATTTGTTAGTTCTTTTATATACTTTTTAATAAAAATATTGTATAAAAATTGCAAACCGCATCAAAGTGTGGTTTGCGGTGCAGTTTTGCCTAAATTTTTATTGAAACCACACCAAAGTGCAAACCACAGTTTGGTTATTTTAAAAAACTGCACTGCAATTTTCAAATCGCAAACCGCACTCTCAACATCCCTATGTACATGTATGATGTATCCTACTTTAAAAAAATAAAAAATAAAAAATAAAAAAAAACTTGAAAGTATATTTGATGTACATTGTGATATGTGAACATCATAAAATGATAAAATGAAAACACCGCTGGGCCATGAATGTAAACTTTAAAAATTAGCCAACAACACATGAATGGCCATATGAACCAAGAATGTCCAATACCATTCGCACCCTTTTAATAATGAAAGCGGGTAACCTTTTGTGTACTATTTGTTCTTGTTTATTTTTTCCTAACTAAAGTTCCTAAAAAAATTTTTGGCCCGTTGGGTGAATATTGCTTTTTTTTTTTTTTTTTTTTTTTTTTGGTTTCCAAATAATTTTCATAGAAAATGTTTGAAGATACCAGAATTCCTTATTATGCCAGTTTTACATAAAATTCATCCAAGTTGTTTAAGTTATCAAGTTTTTTTTTTTTTTCAATTAATATATTTAATTGGTTTCACGTAATCACTAATAGAACTAGCGATTTTATAAGGAATAAATTCGCCAATTCAAATAATGTTTTGACATGTATTAGGGAATTATTTTCGCTGAACTCATAACATACTAGATGTATAAGTGTATAACAATGGCAAATAAATCAAAAGTAATACCTACGCTTATTATTTATTGTGATGTTTCTCATTTCACGTTTGCCAATGTATAGTTTCATCCATTACTTGTATCTCAATTAGTTGCGACGCTTCTCATTATATATATATATATATATATATATATATATATATATATATATATATAGGCTCATGTGAGAAGTACAACTTATGTGAGAAGGGTGAGAAGTAACATTGACCCTTAGATATAGGATCCTACGGTCAAGATTAAAAGTATCTCTACTTCTATTGTTTCTTCAATTATTACTCCTTCGGCAAGCATATCTGAACATGATCTAGTTCATTCTCGGCTTCGCTACCACCATAAACTCGATGGCGGCGATAAAATTGACACCTCCATATTAATTAATCTATCGTTGGAAATTCGTTCGCGAATTCATCTATTTCTTCTCTTCTGGCATCAATTAAACTTATCTTTGTGATATTATTGACGATAATCGATCGGCACAACAAATTTCAAGCTTAGATTGTCATGTTTTTCTTCAACTCTTCCATTGTTGTATAAAGTAACATATTAGCTAAATTTTGTTTAATTAATCTTAATTATTAATTAATGTATCTATAATTAGAACTTGATGTATTTGAATGTATTAAGTTGATGTATCTATCTTGGTTTTTCAATGTATTAGTAATTGTAGAGCTAAGGTAGTGTGCATGTTTGCAAATAATGGAGGTTTGATTTGATAAAATAACAAAAAAATGGTGCACTTTGATTTAGAAAAAAGGTTGACTACATTTAATTTCCCAGATCCAAAAGGAAAGGGAATTGATGTATTTTTAATATATTTCTAATGTATTTGTAGTATGCCATCAATGTATCTCCAGTGTATTTAAAATGTACATGAGCTTCTCACACTTTTCACCTTAAGCATGCTTCTCACCGGATCCTAACTCATTATATATATATATATATATATATATATATATATATATATATATATATATATATAAAAGGAGGACCCTAATGAGCCAGAACCCCTCACAAGTCAACCTACCTGGAAGAGCAGGCTAGGGCATTGCATTTTTACATAGTGCATGCTTTATTGTAACCAACGATACATCCCATATACTACATAAATATGTAGGGGCATACAATAATAACTCTCTCAATAGTAAGAAGTGAGCAAATCAGTTATACAATGAACATCATTAGAAAGTGGATATCATGTCCCAATACATCATATCTAACTTAACATTATTAATAAAACATAAAACATGCTTAATCTTCCAATAATTATGTATCATACAACTAACTCACTTACTACTAACTTAGTACAAGTATGTTATACTAAACTTTTGGAACCACTATTCTTGAAAATCTATTAATCCTGCATTCTTGAACATGTGTAATGAACCAATGAAGTAGTTCCGAACTCCAAACGTTCAAAAATTGAGTTTAATCTTCAATATCATCAACCATCTTAATTCTCACGTATTTAAGCAATTCAACTACATACATTTAGCAATCTAAAGCCTAGCAATCTCATAACTTGCATGTGTAATACGTGAGCTTTCACGTTGATCACCAACGATTTTTCGCAACTCTTCCTTTAACCTACTCATAGTTTGCAAAGGCAAAAGCATAAGCACAACCCTCACCATTTCTCCTCTATCATTCTCAAATCTTGTAAACATACTTTGCACAAAATGTGGCCTAGGAACTCCGGCATACAACGGAGTTCCCCACCCAAAATCAACCTTTTCGAGTCCTATGTACGCATGATTTGTGGTCATCCAATGTAAATACTCCGTATAATCCGGCCTTCCATTACTAACCGTATAATCTAACATAGATCTCACGTATTCCTCGTTCGCTTTATCTTTTGATCCCTTTACTAATTGTAAGGCATATGTCCATGAATTTTCGCGTAGCAAATCCTTAGCTTTTGTGGCTACTGCAGGGCAAACAACAGCATTACCATAGTATCCGGTTGGTAAAGGCGTGAATTGTTTTCCTCGTAAACTGATATACATCGAAAACTTAACGATTTCCTCAGGATCGGGTTGAAGGGCAATCGTACGACATCTCCACAAGAATGCACATAGTAGCTCAAACGTCGAGCTAGAGTGTTGTATGTTGGGAGGAAAAAGGTTGCGGATTGTTCGAATTTGTTTCGGACCAAAGTGGAAGCATCCTCGAACCATGTTGCCTCCATCCTTAAATTGTTGTTCATGATTTATGTCTCCTGCCTATTTGAAAAGAAAATAACAATAAGAATTACTACGTATTAATTTTTTGTTTTAATAGGTAGTTGTTCACAAATTTTAAAATATAAGGTTGTTGATAGCAAAAGTGATAGGTTATAGGGTAGTTACTGGCTAAATTTCAAAATATAAATAAAAAGGTGATGCAAGGAAATTAAAAATATTTCTTTTACAAAATTATTTTTCATTGTTCTCATGATGGTTGAACATAATAAAACTTTTTCAAGCCAAGATAAGAGGAATTATAAATGAAGAAATTTTTTCAAGATACATGTATATTTTGTCATTGATGTTATTAAATAATATTTTGTTATTCTTATTAATATTTGTAAAGCATATATTCTTAGAAAATTCTTCTTAAAGTCAGGCTAACATGTTCCATTTTATTAGATGAGTGATTAGTAATACGGAGTAAAAGTTACCCTTGTTTCATTTGAATTGCCCAACAAATTCAAAAAAATACTTAAAAAATGGGTCAAATAGGACAAGTAAATATCGAAAAAGGGAGTAAAAGAATTAGGTTAAAGATTAATCCTTTAGTTATTAATATTAAATTATTGTTCCTTATAATTTTTCAACCATCGTTTACTCCATCAACATTCACGTAAAAAGTTAAATGGTCCAAGCTGTCCAACCAAAGACTTTTGTACAAACAACTAACCTTATGTCAGTTGAGTATATTATGAAGCTGTAAATGGTACAAGTAATAAAAATCGGAAAAATATACGAAAGTGCGTGGTCCAACAGTAGCATAATAAACGCGCTATGTAACTTACTATTTATTTTTAAAAATGTTAATTTTTAATTTATTTTCTTATATGTCGTTACATTACACTGATTACTATACTTATCTTACGTTAATTTTTAATTTATTTTCTTATATGTCGTTAAATTAAAGTTGTTATCATAGTACGAATTGTATGTGGAGAATTTTTTTCGAAATTTGATTTACCTGTCCATATTCAAGATGTGCGCAAGTCACTCGCATGGGGTATTTAGCGGCCAGAAGCTCCCTTTTCCAAAGAGGCATAACAGAAGGTCTCGGTAAACCTCTTGATATTTCAGCCATTGCTTGCAATAGTTGCGCAAATCCTGGTGTATCACACACCGTATGGTTGAATCGTACTCCCAGTATAAAACCACCGCAAATTAAACGAGTCACCTGCATTAATACAACTTTTGTTTGAATTAAAGAAAAAAAAAATAAAAAAAAACAAAAAAAAACAAAAAAAAAAGAGAAAAATACAAGTTTAAAACCTTATAAATGGTAAAATTGTAAATAAATCATCATATTTTTTTTATTAAATATGGGTCATAAAATTGTTGATTTATTTACAAAAATGCTATGCTAATTGGACATTTTGCTTGATTTATTTACAATTTACTACTTAATAAACAAATTTTTGTTTATTTGGGAGAAACTAGGGCTCCCTCAAAAGAAACGTGTGTGTTAACTAAATATGAAATGAGGCAATCTTTTTGGAGTAGACAACCCATATAAAAAAAAAGGAGGTAATTTTTACGGGACGAACTGAGTACAAGAACATACCTGAAATAGCAATAAGGGGCAACCTATGATCCCCTTGGAGCCAGGGACATCATAAAGGAAGTCCTCCAACAAAGGACATGGAGGTAGAATTCGAGTTCGAATCTCCTCCAAACGAACATTGGCGTCTGCTTCAATAAACAACACACCTTCGTCGTTACAATCAACCATCAACTTCCTATTTGGCCCTTCCTTTAGCCTACCGGCGAAAGGGTAGTAGTACACTAGGGCTTTTGCAATAGCCTCCTTGATCACTTTTGCTGGATCTTTCCCAGCTTTTGATCGGTTCGCTTTGAAAGCCATGATCACTTGAGGTCGAACTCGAAGGCCTTGTTGATCATCTATGTCTGATAGCTCTTTTAGTTCTCTTCTTGTGGGGTTTGCTGGCACCACCACCACTGCTTCTTGCCTTGCTACTTTGATGGTCTTCTCCATATGTAATAAAGCTTTAATTTAGGGTATTACTCGTAAAGTTAGGGTACTTGTATAAAAAAAATCTAGGAATTGTATTCTAGAGTCTTATTATCTTGGGGATTTAGGGAATAGAGAACCAAGCTTGAAATGTGTAAGAGCCTAGCTAAGAAGGCACGTATTTAAATACAAAGAAATAGCTCTCCCCACACACCCACAAAATCCGAAGCCTATATTTTGTCCCTAAATTAAAGTTTTATTTTTTCAATATTTATTACTTTTCAACCTTTAATCAACTAAATCTTACTACAGAGTATTTTTTAAATTTTTTTTTATTAATTTTTATTTACTGTTAAGCAATCAAATCACACATATGTATTCACCTTCTATTAACCAAAAATGTGGTATAAATATTATTTTTTTAATTCACCTTCCTAAAAATGTGTGACAACGATTATTATTTGGAATCGAAGGGAAATATTAATACTCGTACACCGTATTGCATAAAAATTGCAATCAAAACATAAGTTGGATGGTCATGTTGTAAGGACCATAAAAAGAAGAGAGATAGAAGGGCCAGCCAAAATAATTATTGTCCTTTTCTCAAAAAAAAAAAAAAAAAAAAAAAAAAAAAAAAAAAAAACAATTATTGTTCGACATGTAGATATACGTCTCTGTTTTTCTTTTATTGTATTATAAGAACTTTTACACTATTCAATTAATCTTTTTTGGCAGCTATTTGTGATTTATCCATTAAGAAAAGCATAATCATGTGGAATCTAGTTAGATTCGTCACAAAATTTACTTTTCAATTATCAATTTTTTATAATTTTTATAAAAGTATAATTGAAAATATTAATAGCTAAAGTAATAAATTGGTAAACGTACAATCCCTTATGGTGCAATAAAAAAATAACAGAGAAAGTATATTTATTGACTTATCAACTCAACAAACAATAATAACCAAAGAACGACATAAAGCAATGTATAATAGAAGAATTTTGTACGAACTATTATATAAACAAGAAACACAAATTAAGGATTTAACATGGAAAAACTTACTGTTTTGTATGAACCTACATTATATTATAGGAATATAAGGGACTTTTTAGTATAATTATCATTGTCAATTTTAAGTATATTTTTGTTTTTGTTTTAATTATTTTATATGTATCATACTTGTATAATATAGGCTGTATAATTAGCTTAAATTAATTTATTTATTTTTGTTGTTTAGAGAGCTACAAGAACGAATGATGATAAATTGATAATCGATCTCAAGATCTTTTGGAACTAGAAGAGGAGCACTAACCACTTGAGCTATCCCTCACTCTCAACTTAAATTAAATTATGACATACTTGTACTAAATATGTTAATTTTACAGTAAAATCATAAGGATTTCATGTTTTTATTTTTTGGTTTTCCCTGTCAAATTTGGTTTTCAGTAACAAATGAACCCAAAGATATTCAACAATGACTACAAAATCTTGGTTGCTAAGATTTTCCTTAAATTATTATCTCACCATTAGAGCGAGCTTAGGGGCGCAATTACACATATAGGACAGATATTAAAAAAAAAATACTTCGTACTCCCTCAGTTACATATTACTCATAACAATTACTAAAAATGGTCGTTACACATTACTCGCGACAAATCCAAATCTTTTTTGTTTAGTAAATTTTTTTAAATGAAATTACAAAATTACCCTTACATAAAACTTTATAACCTCAATTACATACTTTAAACATAATTAATTAGAACTCATATAATCTAATTAAACTCATCCTATCTTTCTAAAATCATCTTCTCCATAATCTTTATCTCTCCTCCTTCATCTTCTTCCTCATCCGCATTATTTTTCTCTCTCCTCCTCCAACCCCATTCTCATCAATTGTTGAATAGACCATCCTTTCGTTGTGAGTTGTCCAAATCTGACGGTTTTCGTGGATTTGTGTTTTAGGTTTTCGTGGGTTCGGGTTTTGGGTTCGTGGGTTGTGGGTTTTGGGAATCTGGGTCTGAGTTCAACTTTCTGAGTTCTGGGTTTTGGGGGTCGTCGATTCGTGGTTTGTGGGCTTTGGGTTTCGTCGGTTCGTGGATGGTGGGTTTTGGGCTCCGTCGGTTGTGAGTTTTGGGGTTCATGGGTTGCTGGGTGGTTCGTGGGTTCATGCTATGTGGTTTAGTGGTGTTGGGTGGTGGGTTGGTGGTTAATTTAATTTTGGTTTTTTTTTTTTTTTTTTTTTTTTTGGGTTGGATTAGTACACTTTAGTCATACCCTTACTTTTTTATCCCACTTAATTACGTACCCTTTACTTTAATTAACACCCCTTTAATATTTTGTCTAGGAGTCTGCAATTTCTTACTATGTTGCGAGTAATTCATAACGGATGGAATATATAGCATGGGAAATAACTCAAGTTTCCTAATGAAAGAAGCATTACTCGGTTATGTTCATAATCATGCAAATCATTACCCGGTTATGTTCATAATCATTACTCGGTTAGGTGAACATATACTCCGTAATCCGTATAAAATAAACACATTACTTTAGGACAAATTTGCATGATTGCATCAGTACGCTTGCGTCAGCAGGGTTGCATGATGATTGATGACTGATGAGAGAAAGATATCGTCCACACAATCCCTAGCTGAATTCCATTTGACAACGTCAAAGGGTAACGTAGTATTATATATTTAAGTACAATGCTATAATCACACATTCACATCAATCACATGGATTAGTTGTGAGCTTGTGACTCATTATTACTTGTACTATTTTATTTTATATGAATACGATGCATTTTAGGTGTCCTTTGGTTAATATAGAAAGTGAAAATTTTCATGAACTTTTAATTTATTGAATTAAATTACATAATCAAATTCACGGGATCAGAATTTCTTGCAATTGTTTGGTTAGTAATGAGGAAAGTTAAATTCCATAGGAATTTCAACTTATCAGGGGGGGATTAGGCAAATAAATTCCTATATTTTGTAGAACTGATCAAAACTCCTAGAAAATTCTACTTCCCCCATTTCACCAAATTTTATTCAACTGAACAAAGTAACTTACTCAATTTACAATTCCTAGAAACTCACAATTTCCATATATTTTTTTAAATAAACCAAATGACACCTTAGACTCTAAATCTTTTGGCAAACATATTTAACAACGAACCACGCGTAGCATTTTCATACTAATTAATATAATAAAATCTTGACCGTTTATTACTATACTTACGTGTAAATAAATGAGTTCAATGAACGATCTGCTATTATAAAGAAAAACCTATATAAAATTGTTGTTAGAGGTCATTGATAGTGAACTCAAAGGGTAAATACAAAGTGTATTTTTAGCACAATTTAAACATGTAGAGATTATTTTCAACATGGTACATCAATGAAACTTCTTACAAACTCACAATCTTACCTAAAATTGTTGTAAACATGTTTAATGTTTTTATGTTATTAAAACATGTTGTTTTTGAATTATCATGGGCCAACTCAACAACATAGTTATCATCCTTGTGAACACCCTCCCGCCCCCCCCCCCCCCCCCCCACCCCCAATTCATTTTTGTCCAACCAAGTATATTCAAATTACATGTAAAATTGTACAAGTTCACTGGATGTAGGGGTGTCCATTTGATTTTCGGTTTGGATATAGCCCAAATTCAATCCGATTCGAAATAAATTTCGGTTTTCAATTATCAAATCCAATCCGATCTGAATTCCTCACCAAATTCAATCCGATCCAATCCAAATTAAAATTCAATTATTTGGATCCAATCCGAAAATTTGAATTAAACTACATTGCAATTTTTTTTTGGCCTAATCGATAATAAAAAAAATATAAATGTAATAATAAAAATCCAATTCTTGAAAGTATAGTTGTGCACCATTAATACAAGTATTAAAAACATAGGTTTACATGATTAATATTATTTGTTATTATAAACATTGTTTAGCTTTATTAATATTAGCAATACTTATTTATAAAATAACGGTTTAATATTACGGTTATCTCGGTTTTTTGGATCCAAACAAGGTCAATCCGATCCTTTTCGATACGAAAATTCGAATTTTCAAAAAAAAATTCAATCCGATCCGATCTGATTTAAAGTTCAAATCCAATCCGAATTAATAATTCAATTTAAATTGGATTGGATTTCGATTCTAATCCGAATAATAAACACCCCTAACTGAATGAGTTCCTATGGTTCAACATCATCATAAATATGTTAAAAGATATAAAAACAAAAGAACACGCTGTTAATTAATCAAACACAATTTCTCACAACAATTTTTTATTTTTTATTTATTTATTTATTTTATTCTAGGCGAAGAGTCCGATCCAAAGGTAATTTAGTGACTATCATGTTTCTTACATATGTATTTAGATGGCAGATATACAAAAGGATGTTTGAATTTTTAACTAATTTTTGGATCATTTAATATGTACTCCGTTTTAGATATTGTATTATTTTATTCAATATGATGAAAAAAATTTAACAGAAAAAGCAAAACTCATTGACGGTCTTCTATTTTTTTTTTTTGTTTTTTGTTTTTTTTTTTTTTTTTTTTTTGGGTTGGTAAGATAAAGGGTTATATCAGCCCAGATTGAAATCCCTTACGGGTCAACCTGGCCCGAATTAGCGGGCTAGACAATTTGAAAAAGTGGGGAAAGGTAAGGGAATATCACCCCCCAAATTATCATTAGTGGGAGAATTGAATAGCTCTCTTTTCTACTAGACCAAACTTCGATTGGTTTGTCCTAAAGTAATGTGTTTACTTTTTGGCCTAAAACTTAATTGATATGCCATGCTTTGATATAATTTGTCCAAATCTTGCTATGAATCTTCCTAAATTATACTAGTGTACTCCAAAGACACTTATGTTTGTTGACTTTTCTGCTATCAAAAAAGAAAACATATACAAAATTGGTATTAGAAGGCATTAGTTATAGTGAATTCAAAGGGTAAATTGATTACATTTTATTTAGAATAATTAAACATGCAAATATTTTTTTTTTTATGATAGATATTTGTGTAAACCTTACCGTCCATCATAAGTGATTAGGGGATTTTTACCCCGCCACGTGAACCAATCCGGTTCTGCCACGTGTCCTTCACGTGGACCAGTCAGGACCCTTCACGTGACCAACCAGAGTCCGCTACGTGTCACTCAGTGAAGAGTCCAAAGTGGACCAATCAAGACATGACACGTGCCAAACAGATTGCCAACATTGGACAAGCAGCCTTCCAAGGCCCATACTCCAAGGAAGCCCAATCAAACCTAGGTTTCCCGTAAACCTAGGACTGGCACACATTACGAGACCTATAAAAGGGAGATGTTCCCCCCTGGGGAACGACATTTAGAAATTATTAAACACACGTGTGCATTAATTGCTGAGCATTAACTCCAGCTTTAAGTGCACTTCTTGAGAGCTAAGGCTCGGATTTTGAGGCT